TTGAGGTCATAGCGACCTTGAACTTTGACCTTGTGACCGCAAAATCAATAGGGGTCCTCTACCCAATATGGACAATCATCCTAAGAAGTTTGAACACCATGGGCCAAATAGAAATTAAGTTATTTTCTGGAAACCGTTTTCAGTTTTAAAGTAATAGTGATCTAGACCTTTGACCTTTGACCCCAAAATCAATAGGGGTCTTCTACCCAATATGGACAATCATCCTATGAAGTTTGAATATTGTTGGCCAAATAGACCTTCAGTTATCCTCCGGAAACTGTTTTCAGTTTTAAAGTAATAGTGACCTTGACCTTTGACCCAAAAATCAATAGGTTTTTTTACCCAATATGGACAATCATCCTATGAAGTTTGAATATTGTGGGCCAAATGGAACTTAAGTTATGCTCCGGAAACTGTTTTCAGTTTTAAAGTAATAATGAACTTGACCTTAGACCTTGTGACCCAAAAATCAATAGGTGTCTTCTACCCAATATGGACAATCATCCTATGAAGTTTGAATATTGTGGACCATATGGAACTTAAGTTATGCTCCTGAAACTGTTTTCAGTTTTAAAGTAATAATGACCTTGACCTTTGACCTTGTAACCCCAAAATCAATAGGGGTCTTCTACCCAATATGGACAATAATCCTATAAAGTTTGAACACTGTAGGCAAAACGGAACTTAAGTTATGCTCCGGAAACTGTTTTCAGTTTTAAAGTAATAATGACCTTGACCTTTGACCTTGTGACCCCAAAATCAATAGGGGTCTTCTACCCAATATGGACAATCATCCTATGAAGTTTGAATATTGTGGGCCAAATGGAACATAAGTTCTGCTCCGGAAACCAAATTGCTAAAGGACGTACTCGTACTCACAAAATGGTACTTTAATATGTGACTTTTCCTTTGATCTTATTGGCCATTGCTAGACACACAAGGCTTAAAAAAAGACACACAAGTAAAAACGGAATGAATAGGATCAAAGAGAATTTACTGTTACCCATTGTTCTCCAAGTCACACAAGTACCTCTGGGTTTGTACGGATAGACAGACAGATGTTCTAACAGGACAGTAATTATGTGGCTACTCTATTGTTCTCTCTATGTTCTTTTTAGCCACACAAAAGAAAATAGCCACATAAAAGCATTACGGAATAAATGACATCAAAGAGAAAAAACAGTTACCTATTGTCCCTCTAGCCACATGATTACTGTCCTGTGAGTGCGGACGGACGGACGCGAGGGGGTATACGAGGGATGATCAAAAATAAACCGGACTGTGACTGTCAATTGAAGAATTTTCAACCTATCACTTATTGTTATATATCACACTTAATCCGAAAACAATACCTGTAAACTGATGCTTTATTTAATCTGATAACGCAAAAGCTTGTCAGTAACAGCGAATTCAAAAACCATGGTAATGCTTACCCGGCACAGTGCGTAAATTCGCCTTGACATTAGGCGCTTTAAGCTGCGTATATTTTACAATATGGCACATTTAGATTTCAAAATATGCCAAAACGTCATTAACCATATCTTTGACGTTGTCAGTAAAAATGACTTCATTTAAATCATATTTATATTTGCAATCACAATTCAAACGTCACATGTTAATGAAATACTCCCATTAAAACTATGTCGTCTGAATGTCTCGAAAATCAATCAATAAGAAAAAATTTGTCAAAAGTAAGACGAGAAACTGTTTAAAACGTAGAAAAAGATTATGGCTATCGAGTTAAAAGTTCCAGAAAGCCACAGCATATTTTTTGATTAGCAAAAAAATAAGAAAGGGTAATAGAGAAATAGAAAACAAGTAAGGGAGAGACAGAAAAATAAAATTTTTAAGGACGTTTGGGATGTCAATCGCCAAGACGTTGAAAAATGACAGTCGATTGGCTGCGGACATTGTCAACGATGTTTGACAGTAGCTACGGCACGGTGCAGTCAACTCTAAGGATTTTAAAATGTTAATAGTTAATGCATTAATTACATATATTGTATGAGGGTTGTTCAAAAAGTAATAGGACTGGAGCTCTACTGTTCACAGTTTGTAATTTACGTACATAATTTTACAAGAAACAAATATCGGAACATGTTCTTTATATACAGTGAAAAAAATCAAGACAAAATGTTAACAAATAACAATTCTGCGAAATTTTCAAATGACAAGGGGTACGAAACCCGGCGCACGCTGACAATACAATAAATAACGTTCATGACGTCGTTAACAAAATACATAATACATGTATAACAAGTGTCATCCATCCTGAAAGTATTCTCCCTAGTGTTCTAGGTGTCTGAATCATGTGATCATGATCAGGTCCCATAAGTGGAGATTAAGCGAGAAAGAAAGCGATCAGAATTTCGTTCAATTCTCCAAGAAAAATGCCAGATAGCCGACCATTATCCACTTTTCTCAAATATTTGAGTAAACTGGGAACTCAACAAGCATGGACTTATAATGCTAAAGCAAAACCGATTTTTATTATTAATTTTCACATGTATGTCATCGTACGTTTTTAAAACAATATGATTGTATACAGTAAAAAAAACACTATTCATCAATTGATAAGTATCATTTATTATAACAAAATTGGGGGGGGGGAATTACTACTATTTATTAAAACCGTTAATAATTATAATGTTAATTCATTAAAACCAAGTATATCTAATGAGATGCAATAAAATAGTGTTTGATAGAAACGATAAACAATCCTTTGATGAGAACTGAATAAGTAGACCCGAAGCAGACATAAAACAATACCGGACAGTCCGCGTACCGTTTACCGTCAATCCATTGACAGCGCTTTTGCAATTGACGTCACTAACGTCGCGTCAATTTTCCGCTTTCATCCTCACACATTCCTGTGAGAGATTTTGTATTCGCCGTTTTTAAATTGATTGTACCAGCTGACAACGAGTGTCCTGATGGCAGGATAATTTTCCTTAATTAATATTATAATTTTGTATGTATCTGGAAGAATATTGCCAATTTGTTGGCACAATTTAACGATTGCACAAATTTCTGTTTATTACTGAGTGCCGTATTTCTATATTTAACGCAATAATCACAGCTATTCAAAACTAAATAATTATGCCATTTCATGCCCTAATGATGTCAAATTTAGATATAATGTCACTTAAATATAAATAAATGTGTTGTGGAATATATGGACAAATTAAGTGTAAATTATAAATAAATCAGAAGTACAACTTAGGTTCAATAACTATTTGTATGTGTTGCGCCGGGTGCGTGTTACCATGATTATTCAATATCATGAAACACACGTTCATCACAATAAATAAATAAACTTTTGCATAAATTGTAGAAAACATTTTACGATCCCTATACATATGATAATATTCTAAATTGGATTAAATATGAATATGCAAGACTGTCAGTCCTATTACTTTTTGAACAACCCTCGTATTCTTTGTTCACAATTGTTTCAATTATTTTCTTATTTTAGGCAGTAGTTTTATAGAGAAATAACCATTAAACAGTCACTGTTCAAAATCGTTTTTTTCATTTTAAAATAATGTCAATTGTGTTCATAGTTGTATTATTTTTTTTCTTATGTATGATACATTATCATTCAGCAACATTATTTTACATTATTTGTAAAACATAATATTGTTTATTGCATTTGCAATTTTTCCAACAATCAAGTTACAGAAGGAAAGAACGGAAATTACAGTAGCTCTTTATCATCATCCATTCTTTTACAATACAATATGATACCCACTTGTACAGAAATATATATAGGCAGTGGATCCCCCGCATCAACAACATGACTGTACCACGTATTGACATACTCTGTGAATGAGTAAAAAAACTGCTCCGTTAAGAAAAATACACTTGTGACGTCGTTAACGTCAATTTCAAAGTTATACCGTGCGCCGCATTGCTTTACATGTACATGCCAATAGCAGCATAACTTTTTTATTTGTTTATATTTCTTGTTGGTATTTTTTGTATCATTTAAGGGATAGATTCCGATTTATGTTCCGTGTATTTTTATGTAAATTCATTTAACAGATAAAGAATCATTTACAAAGTCCGGTTAATTTTTGATCATCCCTCGTAACATAATATGCATGAAATTTTTTTGGGCATATCAAAATCAATGACCTCCAGGGGTGGTGCCAATTTTGACCCTAGGGGTTTTATTTCAACAAGCATGGTAGACATTAACTAGAACATGTTTCATGCCAAATATCTAAGCTCTAGCTCTTTTGGATTTTCACAAAGAGATTTTTTAAGTTTTTACTATATATATATATATACATATTTATTAAAACGTGATAAAAGTTCCTTGTGCAGTGTTGATATAGATAAAATTATAATGTTTAAGAAATAACAAACTCTATATGTTAAAATCGTAGCGCTTTCAATGCTTTCTTTGCATATCTTAGATATGCAAAGAAAGCATTGAAAGCGCTACCGATTTTACATATAGAGTTTGTTATTTCTTAAACATTATAATTTATATATATATATATATATATATATATATATATATATATATATATATATATATATAAGGAAAAACAATGACCCCTTGGGTGGGGCCAATTTTGAGGGCTTTTATTTGAACAAACTTGGTAGACATCCGCTAGAAGATGTTTCATGCCAAATATCTAAGTTCTAGCTCTTTCAGTTTTTTACAACAAGATTTTTTTAAGATTTTTGTAAAAAAATCTTTCGGTTGCCATGGCAACCAGAGTTCTTCATGGAATTTAATTGTTTGAAAAACTTTCGTAGAGCTTCATGCAAGAAACATCCCTGCAAAGTTTCAATAAATTTGGCCATGTGGTTTAGGAGGAGAAGTTGTTTAAAGAAATTGTTGAAGCACCCAAGGACACACGCACTGATGATGGACGACGGACAATGGGCCATCACAAAAGCTCACCTTAAGGACATTGTCCTCAGGTGAGCTGAAAACATCAACTTATTTAAAACTGTTTTAGCATACAATGAATTGGTATACACACCTGTCACCAACAACAAGTCCACATTCTGGACAAATCATGTCACCAGCATGATAATCTTCTACTAAAGGTGTATCAGGATGTTCAGGACATTGTATCTGGACCCCACGTCTGAAATCATACAATATGTAAATCATTATTTTACCAAAGATTTGTGATTATTTAAGTTTATAATTACAAACAAGGAGGTTTTTGGCCCCAAAACACTCATTCTTGAAGACAGATTGGTAAAATATTCTCTAGTTACGGGTTATATGAGCTTTTAGTGACAAGCCACTGAATTCTTGATCTTTGACCGAATTGTAACAAAAATCTACTAGTCATGTCTTATGTCCACACCCAATGTCTGAAGAGTTGGGTGTTTTATAAAAGAAAACACAGGTTTTGCGCTGACCCCAAGTGTGACCTTGACCATTGAGTGGCGGACCTGTGTTTTATGTGCGACTTTTTTTATTTGACTTTCCCTTTCATAGCCTTTCCCTGCTCAAGTACTTGAGCTACAGATCAATCCTGTAAAGTTTCATTGAAATTGCATTAGTGGTAAAAGAGGAGAAGTCCTAATAAAAATTATTAAAAGGCTATAACTCTGACAACAAGAGCTGTCACAGGAGACAGCGATCTCGACTAATAAAATACTGGATGCAGTAAGGAGGACAAAACTATGAAAGAAAAATCAATAATGTATAATTATGTATTAAGTTATAGTAAAAAAATAACATTTGTTAACATAAATTCCAAGATCAAGGGGAATAATTCTAGAAATAGTCACGCTAGAGTTATGAACCTTGTCACACAACATGTGTATAATGATAAGAAATATATATTTGAAGTTTGAAGTAGATACCTTAAAAAGTAAAGAAGTTATAATATTTCTTAAAGAAAATCTTAAGTTCAAAAAGAGATAAATCTGTAAATATTGCTTCAAGAGTTATGAACATTGTCACATAAAATGAAATTAATGATAAGGAATAAGTATTTGAAGTTTGAGTTAGATACCTTTAAAACTAAAATAGTTATAGTAAAAATAACATTTTTCTAGTATAAAAATCTAAGTTTATGGGGAGATAATTCTTGCAATATTGGTGCTAGAGTTATGAACCTTGTCACATAACATGTGGATGATAAGGTACATATATTTGAAGTATGCGGTTGATCCCTTAAGAAATAAAGAAGTTACAGTAAAAAATAGTATTTTTTAAGGAAAATTCTAAGTTCAAGGGGAGATAAATCTGAAAATATTGGTGCTAGAGTTCTGAACCTTATCACATAAGATGTGGTTGATGATAAGGAACATATATTTGAAGTTTGAAGTTGATACCTTAAGAAATGACAAAGTTATAGTGAAAAGTATTTTACTGCACCAAAACTTTAATCTGAAATCTGGACGCCAACGCCGGGGCGAGTAGGACAGCTCTCCATATACTTTGTATAGTTGAGCTAAAAATCCCAACTTTACTTGGTACTGATCATTCTTATAATGTAAGGTTTGGATGACATTGCACCAGTAGTTTTTGAGGAGTAATCCAGTCAAGTTTTGTGACAAATGGACATGCTCAAAGTTTGATGTTTAAGTGGCTACTGTTTTGTTCTTTTAGCCATGTAAGAGAATCAAAGGGCTGCAAGCTCTGTGGTATTTTCTGATCTTTGTAACTAAAACGTACTAAATATCTGTATGTATTTTCTTGTATTAGTTTATTTTGATATACTTAAATTCATCTTGCAGGGCACCGAGTTACAGCAACTGCGTTTACTATAACTGTTCGAGTTTGATACATACGGAATTTGCATGACAAGAGTTTCTACTTGCATCATGAAATCATTTCTGTTCATTTTTTTTATGACAGCCACACTTTATCCTTGCATATCGCCACTACTTCCTTAGGTAAACCATGAGTAATGGGCACTATAAGGAACTGTAAAATTGACAACATATGACAGTTATGTGTCTTAAAGGTCACCTGTATGCAAAATTAAAAAGAACAAGAATGTCGAACGACACATATACCCCCCTTTCTAGCCATTGACTCACATAATTGGTAATTTTATTACAGAAACTTGCCAAAAATGGGTACATGGAAGTGTTCAATTATGGAAAAATCAACGAAAACCATTTTGACATTTAAGGCCCCTGTGACCTTGAACTTTGACCTAGTGACCCCAAAATCAATAGGGGTCATCTACTAGTTATGACCAATCACTATGTGAAATATGAAGACTTTGTGATACACACTTTTCAAGATAATCAGCGGAAACCATTTTGACATTTAAGGCCCCTGTGACCTTGACCTTTGACCTAGTGACCCCAAAATCAATAGGGGTCATCTACTTGTGATGACCAATCACTATGTGAAATATGAAGACTTTGTGATACATACTTTTCAAGATAATCAGCGAAAACCATTTTGATATTTAAGGCCCCATGTGACCTTGACCTTTGACCTAGTGACCCCCAAAATCAAAAGGGGTCATCTACTAGTGATGACCAATCTTTGTGTGAAATATGAAGACTTTGTGATACATACTTTTCAAGATAATCAGCGGAAATTATTTTGACATTTAAGGCCCCTGTGACCTTGACCTTTGACCTAGTGACCTAAAAATCAATAGGGGTCGTCAACCTGTAATGACCAATCACTATGTGAAATATGAAGACTTTGTGATACATACTTTTCAAGATAATCAGCGGAAACCATGTGGTCTACCGACGGACAGGCCGACAGACAGACAGACCGACAGACAGACCGACATAAGCAAAACAATATACCCCCTCTTCTTCGAAGGGGGGCATAAAAATTACTGTGTTAAATTATGAGTTATGAATATATTTCTGAACTAAAACTTTGCTGTTAGAAGGGCTTTTTTCAGAAATGAGGAAACTCCAAATAATCTATAATATCATCATTATGAAAAATGTTTTCCTATTGCTCATTGTTATGAAACAAATAATAACATTCAGGTAACAAATTACACAAGCAAAATGACGTTTCGGCCCCAAACCAAATCGGCCCCTGTGCAAAAATCAGCCCCTAGACGCTTCGGCCCTTTTCCGCGAGATGTTTCGGTCCTTTTTTTATTACAGTTTTTTTTAAGTATAAAAGGAATTTTTACACTTAAAATTGGTAAAAATTGTAGTATATTAATTGATTGATGGCACACAAACAATTATGACATTTTAAGGTATGACCCACCTAATGCATTACCTCCACTTTGAAGAGTACTCAAATAGGCTAGAAACTTTGAAAACAGCCCCTGTTTTGAGTAAATTTTAGGGATATTTTGAATAAGGCCCTCCAAGTAAAAAAAGAACAAACAACTTCTTAAAATGGGTGGGGTAGGGTAACATTTATATACATATTTCAAACATTTTGAGTAGAAACAATAATTTTGCTGGGTCATTTGTTAGCTGAATGCTACTATTTGTTTCTTAAAAAAATTCTATAGGAAAACATAAGTTTATAATGATTATATAATAGAATAATTAAAGTTTCCCATTTCTGAAAAAGAGGCCTTCTAATAGCCAAGTTTTACTTTAGAAAAATCTCCATACAGTACGCTCAGCGCGACTTTTTCAAAACCCGCGTGACCCCGCGGATGAGGTTTACCGCGGACGAAAATTTGCTCAGATATTGTCCGCGTGACCCCGCGGACAGAAAATTTTCACCACCGCGGACATAAATCGGCGGCTGAAACCGTTTCCCCAGCGGAACGCAGTGGTAAATTGCGGAGGAACGCAGCGGTCAAACACCGGTCAACGCGGTGGAAACCTTAAATTTTAAAAATTAATTACTGTATTTAAACATCAGTATACGTACGTACATGTACTGTAACATGTACTGTACATATACATGTAACTATATGTAAAATTTGTTTGTTTTCTTTCTTTTTTGTTGTAATAAAAGTACATGTACAAATGCAGTGTTTTTCTTGTTCTTCTTCTTGTTATTGTGTTGGGTAATGTATAATATGTATTGGACATCAAGATAAATCATTGTCGTCGCAACTTCATGGTAGACCGTAGTGAGAAACTTGAAGTCAAATAATGAAAAATTCGGCATATGACATTTATGAAAAAGATACTACAACAATTTATATGCCAGCTTTTGTTTCTTATTTAAAAACTTTGAAAACGTAACCCTCAACAATTTTATTCAGGCAATATTCCAGGACGTCTCTTTCAATTGTCAGATGCGTTTTACTGTTTCTGTTTATTTGCATGTTTATCATAAAGTCTTATATTTTATTTGGAACATTAAAAGAAAGCGTTTATTTCACCAAAATATACATTAAATGATATTTTGATTTATCTAATTACAGGTGTGAGCGTAATGTATATGTTTTGAAGTTTGTATCAACTGTTGAAGTTTATTTTCATTTTTGTTTTAGTAGTTTGTTTGCATGTTCTTTTTTATTTTTTTATAGATTTTTTTTGCAGAATTTTGTTAAACTTGACGTTATACTTTTGTTATTTTATTATGAACAGTATGCATGTACATACATGCATATAAGGCAAACGAGCACATGTCAGTTATTTTCTAAGAACTTCCATCGACCGATTTTCAAGTTAGAAATATTTCATTTTAATTTTATCTTAAGATATTATTGTTCATAATAGTATTTGTAGACAACATGTAGTTTTAAGTACATACAATTGAACGTAATTGTCTTTGCTTTCTTGTATTTATTATACTAAGTTTTCATTGAAATTAATTCCGAGGATAATAATGTAATTTTATAATTTGTAAGAGGCAGCCTAATTACTATTTTTTTAATGGGTGCGGAATTTGTTTTTAACGCGTTTGGTGCTTATTATATATAGTTATCATACATCAAGAGCGCTGGAATGATAAACAAGCTTTTCGTTGTCTGTTCAAACAAAGATGCATTTTTAGACGTGTGAAAGTCGCATCACATGTGCTTTCTTTAATGTATTATATGTATTGTTTGTTACTATAAATTGAAAATGCTTTGAAGTTCCGAGTTGTTCGCAAAATTACCTTATGGAGCAAATGTTTTTCATTGGCTAGTTTATCTAAATTAAAGATTTATATAAACATATTCGACAGTTATCTCATTCTCAGAAAAAAATCTAGCAATAGCTGTAGTCATAAATT